AATCCGTTGACAAAGAGATCAATTACAAAGGACTGGCCCCCCAAAAATCCTGAACAAGTTCAGGAGCAGTAGTTCAGGCAGCAGTAGGCCCTCAGAGCAGGTACACGTTTCAGAACTGCTGTATCATAGACAGTGTTTGCGTAACTACTGAAGTGGCTCCTATGTATTTCCTGTATGAAATAGACATTTATTTGCATTGACAAGAAAGAAATTTCAGCAACCAGATGTTTAAAAAAGATGCCTGGACATGCCTCTAAGGGAAAAGAGCCAAATCTGACCAGAAGAATTTTTTTATTTTGCTTTCAATTATGTATTAATGAGGTTAGTCAGCCTGAAGTGTAGACACAATACCAGCGCTGTCACAAGGCCAACGCATCAGGAATGAGTAGAACTGCTGCTGCAGGGCAAGCACAGTGCAGTGCTAATTAGCAATGGTATGAAAGCAGTCTGAATATTGAACTGGTTGACTTCATGCTTTTACCACTGTTTTAAAGATGTTGGTGACATTTACTCCCTCAAACCTTATTAAAAGTTATCAGGGACAGCATTATGTCCTTAAACATCAGCCCAGAGAAAATATTCCAACTCTAAAAGCAGCAAGTGTAAATTTGAGTAATAGCTTTACTTAATTTATAGTTCCATCCATCTATATAAATACTTAATTTATAGTTTCCAGCAACTGATCCACAGCAATGACCATGAAGCAATGAATAGCCATTACAGCTTGAATAATGCTGCAGACAGTAAATGACCAAAAATGATCATAGAGTACATGCTCTTGCTGAATTTTCAGTTTAAAAATCTTTGCAAGTTAATAAAAATCTAGGTCATAGTGTTCTGAAATTCATTCTGTACGAGGCAAACATGATTGCATCCCTTTGCTTAACAGCATGAGATCAGCAATTGAAAAGCAACTCTTCTTAACAGGCATTTTTTGGGCAATCTTCCCAAGGCAGTTGTGGACTTGATTAGCCACCAGAACTGAATTATCCACAGCAGGAATTATACCCAAATATGGCTGTTGGCACACCAGGAGAGATGGTCAAACGTGATGGATTAAATAATTCAAAGGAAATTTTTGTCTTTAACTGATATGGAAGCAGAATATTATGCTTATGCTTACTAAGCTATCATGTCAAATTAGCGTTATACACTTAAGAGGACTATAACTTTCAGAAAATGAACTTGATTGTTTTGGGGTTTTTTAGTTGTTCATTTTTATGTTTTGGATCTTTTTTAAGATTCTGAAAAGATTAACTGCTGAATCCATCTAGAAAATCAAATATGAGACTACTTGTAATCAAACTCCATTAGAATTAGTACAGGCAATGAACTGTTCTCTGGCTACCATAGCAGATGACGACAACCCTAAGCCAAAATTGCTCCCCACTCTCAACTTCAGGGACAAAAAAAAATAATATTTTTTTTAAAGTTATTAAAAGATGGAATTGTTCCTAACTCCAAGGATGTTCTGAAAAGCGGAAAGGATTTATAGCTCCTGCCTTATTCACAACACTATTTATTCCTCAGCTCACTACTTTCCAACATCTCTGCAATTCCTTATGTCCTCCACTTACCTATTCCCACAACCCTTTTCTCCTCCATATCCAGTATCTTGCCTCTGCTACACACAGGTGCCTTCCCCCTCTTTCTTTCTTCCATGATCTAGTGACAAACTTTCTTGCTGTTTCTCACCCTCAACAATCTTACTCTGCACATTTTAGACCAGACACTGTGTAATGCAGAAAGGAGATACCTGACCATGCAGAAGATGCATACCTGAAGGATATCAGAGTTTGGCACATGAAAGCTCTCTGTTGTGAGGTGAAAGAACCTTGTGCTGTGGCTTGTCACCAAGCATGAAGTATGGCTGTAGAGCTTGGAAAGATGCTGTTCTTTGGAGCTACCTGACAAGAAAAAGCTGAAAAGTAAACGAGAAGTAAGTGTCAGCGAAGGTGAGGAAAATAGCATGTAGCACATGGGAAGGCTGCACATAGGAAAGCACCAGATGGCTGGGAGGCAAGTGGCCACTTGTACAGAATCAGAAAATCATTGCTTTCCCACCCAGGAAAGGCCGATCAGCATCTAGTTGAAGGTAATTTTGCCTACTGCTCACTGGCTGTTTTCTATCACTAACTTGGAGTGTTTTCTAGAGTAGAACAAATGCTTTAGTTCTGCTGAACTAACAAGTTTTAGAATAGTATCCACAGAAATAAGATCCTCTTGTTGAGTGGTCTAAACTTCTCTGAATTTCATTATGAAGCATCTGTTTAAGCAGCAGCTTTTCACTGATTTTTATGGCAGTGTAAAGGAATCTTGCTACTTTACTCCTGAGATTAAGAAAACTAGTTTGGCTCCCCTACAAATGGCTGCAATGCCTTTAGAGGGGAAAAAAACCAAACAAACAAACAACAAACCCCACAGATTATTAGCAGATTTAGAATCACTTCCCACACCTAAAAGATTTATTATATAGTAAAAACACGAAAATACTTCTCTTCAGGATGTAAGCTATGTTCACTAGATGCGGGGACAGAAGAATGTATTTGTCCCAGAAGGGGAGGGAGGGTTGGAACATTAGAGGCAAGTAAAAAACAAGCATACCAGCCATACTTAGAAAGGAATGCTATAAACTGTACCAAACCCACCTCATCTGTAAACCAAGTATTTGCCATGCTATCTGGAAAAAGTTATTGTATGTGGTCAGAATAATTCACTTGTATAAAACCAGAGCATTCAGTTAAGTCAATAATAAATGGTGTAATAAATACTTTACAATTAAAAGGACAGTAAGAAAACCCTTCAAACAAGTAAACCAAGTGTCTCTGCATCCAGTTGTTCTTCAGACCAAGTTCAAAGCACAGAGAAAGCTCTGAAACAAAATGTGAAATGGAGGGACAGTTCCCAGTGGAATGCAGTTCTAAGCTTTTGGGTTAGAACTTGCTTTTACTTTTGCAAAGTAATTAGCAAGTAAAAAATAAAATTAAATTAGACAATCTACATGTAAATCGTGGCTAAACTGATGTCAGGGTAATATTAGAGATGATTTGTACCTATAAAGGTTTATGTAGTTATCTTGTATCTCATCCACTCTTTTCATTGTAAAGTCTCATGGAAGGAGCAACAAATATACAACTGAGGAAGATCCAAATCTTAGGTCTATGGAGATTTAATTACCAATTCAGAAATATTTGGTCAGGATTGGCTTATCAGAAGAGCTCCAATTACACCTTTCTGGTTTCAATTCAGTAGCATAAACTAAACTGTCATGAGTCTATCAATTAAGCTCCATCAGCTGTTGAAGCAAAGAATGAATACTTCAAATCCTTTCAAAAATATTTCATTTAGTACTAATAATTAGACTAAGCACAAATGAGTCACTTCATGAAGCAAGGGACCAGAGATTTACTTTAGTAACAACTTAAATCATTACAGTAAACCTTTGTTTCCTCAGCAGAGACCATAAATAGATAAAACATCAGTGGAATGATGCATTAAAATCTTGCCATCAAGGAGGTGCGATTTAGTTATATTTATTGAGGTTCTTTTGAGTTTATCCTTCAGGGGGGTTGAGTGTTGGGTTTTTTTGTTGTCATTGGGGCTTTTGGGGGCATGTTTTTGTGTTGGGTTTGGTTTTTTTAATTTATTCCCCCCCCCCCCCCATTTGTCTCAGCATCTTCAGAAGTAGCTTGAAACTTACAGAACAAACTCTTAACCAACAGATCATGCACTGCTGTTGTGCTTGGATTTAACATCCTAGTCATCTACATTTTTGACAGCTGTAACAGGACAGAAAGGCCTTGGTAGGACAACAAAACAAAAGTCAGAGCAATCTCTTCAAGTGGTAGGACATTTGGTTAGCATAAAAGTGTTTACCTTATGTAACAAGTAGAATCTCCTGAACTATCTCCACATAAATCCTTCAGGCTATCAAAAGGAGGAATGCTTTACAGTGCCCCATTGATGGATCTGAAATGGCCTAACAGCTTCTTTCCAAGGGGCAGTTACCACCTCTTATAGAGTGTTCTGCAACACTGTTCCGAAACATAACTGCTGAAACTTCCGCACTGGGCACTGTACACAGCAGGAAGAGAGGAAGTGAGAGTTGTGCCGACCAGTATTTTTTTTGCTGCACTTCTCCAAGTAACTTAAGGCTATTTAAAGGTAATGCAAATACACAAATGAACTAATACTTTCTCATGCCCGTATATTAAACAGCAGTTAAAGCATCTTGGGACCATGGTAAAACAAAATTCACAGTATTTGAAATTAATAGTATTCTGCAATTAAGTCTGTTTTACTAAGGAAGCAAAGCTCATGCAAATATACTGCCTACATAAATTCCATGGAAATCTGTAGATATTTAATAGTCTGAGGAATAAAAATACCCACAGTTGGCCAGTTTTCAGAGCAGATTCAGGAGGCAGGTAGAAATCACTAGAAGGTGATCAGTAGGATACAAATTCATCTGGTTGTTTTCTATAAGGACTCTGATTTCAGTCAAGGACTGAGCTGCCTCATTAAACTGACTGCGCAGTGTTAAGTCAAAGCAGCTGTCAGACTGGAAATCAAAACTGAACAGTTCCAGAATTTGGGAAATGATTCCTTTTTCCCCAAACAGGCACTTTCATAGAAAGCAAGTTTCTTGTCAGTTAGACTGAAAGCTTCCTTCCGTATTCATTTATCAGTGTGCAGCAATTGACAAAAGCTGTAGACAGAACTTAAATCTTTGTTTACAGTGTGATCAATAGCTTGTTTTATTGTTTATATGAAGCTAAATAGTCCAGATTTTAAAGCAGTGGAAAAAGAAAAACCTCATTTCAGAATTTCCTTGTTCTTTTTCCTAAACTTATGCATCTTAAGCCCACACCTTAAAAGATGATATTGCTCTAACAGTTACTGATAGATGAGTTTTCTTGTGATCCGTGTTTTACGCTTGTGGTATGTGTCCAACCACATGCCCCTTAGCACTGGAAGGAATAAAGACAACAAAACACAAGTGAATCCAACAATACTTTATTATCCACTCATTGCAGATGAAGTTAAGACACTTCAGTTACCAGTCAATATGAGTTTAAACATTAGTTGACAACTGCAGAAGTGTACAATGAGTACAAAATCATTAAGGATAATATAACAAAAAGTTCCAATGTATTAATTTTTAAAACATCAGTTCTACACTATTATACAGCAACCATTATATGATACTCTACTAACTCAGGGCTTGCATTTGAAAGGTTTTTGTTTGTTTGTTTGTTTTGCTTTGTTTTTTTAAGTAGTTCTCCAAGAGCTTGAGATACTGGGGGTTACAGCTGCATTCTTTCCTGAAATACTACTAACACAAAACCTTGCCTTGCACAGACAAAGCTGGTTTATATTTCATGAACACTTGCTTTATCAGGGAATGCAGTAAGAAGAAAAAATCTGTACATAAAAAATTAAACTCCAATATGCAAATTTTATATATATTATATTACAGATTTCATATAAATCAAGTATAGGCCAAATTTTGGCATTGTTTTTAAGTGCATTAATACAAAATCCTCCTCGGACTTTGCTCTTACTTTTCAGTTTACTGGCTCATGAACTGATCATTCTCAGTTACAATACTTCAGACATCTAGAACTGATCATTCTCAGTTACAATACTTTAGACATCTAGAACTGATCATTCTCAGTTACAATACTTTAGACATCTAGAACTGATCATTCTCAGTTACAATACTTTAGACATCTAGAACTGCCTTAAGATCTAATTTCCATTTCAGGAATATCACGCCTGTCTTTCTTTACACTTCCTAACAGCAATTAAGTTGTGGGAAGACTGTAGTGACTAATTTAGTCAAAGTTTAGTGACTAATAAAAATTTCCAACTTGACAGGACTTTTTACTTACTTGTCAATAACTTGAAGATAATAGTCTCCTTTGTACTCCTCCATTCCTCCTTGATTCTCCAGGAACTGTTATTATTATATGCCGCAAACACATATTGCTTTGAAGGGACTCTTACCAACATACATATTATTTCTGGTGCAGAACAGAGTGCAGAGAAATGTTTCTAATGCATAGTTATATTTGCTTAAACTTCAACATGTGGTATTCGCTTTTTAGAGAACACCTACAGAGCTGTATCTTCTCTGCCATACAGTATCACATTCTGTTTCAATTAAGCTTTGTTTGCCTTTGTTTCATGAGTGACCCAACTAATCTATCAATTTGACAAATACAGTATTTACAGTAAACTTTAAAATAGGCTTATGTATTTTTGCTGAAACAGAAAGGCCACTTAAGCTTTTCCACTAGAATAAAGTTCTGGCATGAAGTTATTCAATAATACTTCCTCCTACAAAAAAAAAGGTCAAAATTTCCTCAAAGACATTTGTAGAATATAGAAATTAATTGTATAACCTAGAAACAGCCTATATTAGATCAAAAAACCACCCAAGAATCAATTACAGTAAATTGAGTCACAGTACCGCAAGAAATCAATTCTCTCATTCTTTTACATACTGACATTATTCTGGGATCTCAGCATTCAGTGCAATCATGGTACAGAGTACTGCAAACATACAGCCAAATCCATCAACAGAAACAGCTTCCAAGTTAAGCCCTTTAAAAGTCTTGTAAAAACTGGGCTAAGTGTGAGTTTAAAAACAGCAATCTCAGACCTCAAAAGCAAGACTATTACATTTACACCTTAGAAAGCAAGTCACTTCACACACACTGATGCCTGCACGTTAGTGCATAGACATGACCTTCAGAACAGGAATTTAACAGCAATGCCTCTTCATATTATTGAGTTATTAAGTATCTGATGTATTTACTGTGTGCGAAAAGAAAAATCTCGATTTTGTATTGAGAAAGTAAATACTGAAGTAGAAACAACTTTTAGCACAACAGATGTATTTACTTACAGCATGCAAGGTTTGTTTTTGTGTATTGGAGCAGCTAACAGCCACTAACAGCCCTTAAGTTTTTACAAGTTCAAAATTACAATCTTCACATAAGTAGCAATTGCTTACAAAAAGTTCAGGACAATCCCTGGGAAATAAGCAAGAAATGGAGTAATAAATACTGAAAGCAGTATTAGCAAGATAGTAGTAAAGGAAAGCACAATAGCTTTTAAAATCCAGACAATTTAACACTGTTCTGGTAATAAAAAAAAATAAAAAAGCCACATAACCACATTTAGAGATGCCATTTTAAAAGAAATGCATCTTTCTGATTTTTTGTCTGGGTTTTTTTTGTTTATTTACTATTCTCTCCCACAGGAGACAATGTGTACATAAGCTTAAAAAACAAATCTCTAAGTAAGTAAACAAAATACAACACCCTTTGGTTCACCAATTTAACTTAAAATAGCTTATCCACCTCCTCTGCCCCCCAGTTTGCAAGGTAAGTGGTAAGGCAAATGTGATAAAATACTGAACAGCTTCATAGGTGAGCTTCATAGGAGAAAGATGCTTCAACCCCAGTGCATGGTATGGGAAGCAGAAGTAATAGTTTTTTTATAAACATGATTTTTTTCCCGAAATAATAGCTTCTCAGAGTTGCCCAAGATGCAACGCATATGTTAGTTCTGACTGAGGGCCAGGTCAAGAAAAATCCTATTCCTGTGTTTAACACAGCCTGAGAATAACTCGAGTCTCTTCAGCCTCTTGGAAAACAGAATTTCATGCCAAATTGCACTCTACATGATTGTTTGTTTCAGGTGTTATTTCATATAGTAATCAAAGACAAATTTAACTCGTGGCTTTTTGTAATAAATGTGCATTTGTATCTGCTTCTATACAGTAGCAGTATTTATCTCCTTGGGACGATACAACCTGGAACTAGCAGTGACATATGAATGTTTCTGCACCACTTCATGAAAGGTTTAATGTGTACTGTCCTTCTGAAGAGTCATTTAACTACCTTTTAAAGTTATGTTAAATTTATTTATAAATAATTTGGTACCAGCTGATGCTTATACAAGAACCAGTTTTCATGTTCAACTCTAGGAATTGCTTTGTGTAAAGGAAGTGCTCCAGTTATACCTGCTGTTTCATTATGCCCAATTTGAAGGATCTTAGATTCTTATTAGACATAAATATATTAAAATACAAGTATTTCATATTTAAAGTGGATTTTTACATTTTTGCATTTTTTATTCTTTATAACAGTATTCATATTGCATGATATTTTGTGCTCAACTACCCTCATGACTGTAACTCCTTATAAACATGAAAATAGAATAGTAATATTTTTTTCATGTAAACTTCAGTAGAGTTGTTGCAGTCTTAGAAACAGGGTTGTGAAGGTGCATTGTGAAGTTGCTGTATAAACATTGATATACATTTTCTGTGGACTAGACTATGTGGTACATGGAACATGACATTTTGAAGTTACCCAATGTAATGTATAAAAATATAAAATATATCTTTATGAGTAACAGTAGTATAAGCTACAGTGCAATTTTACTTCGCCCATTGAAAGCCCTACCTGCATATGATTTTTTTTCTCCCATTCTAGTTCTTTCACAGCGGATTTTATTTTCCATTCATAGAAGAGAGCAAGCACGGCTAGGAAAGACAGCTTTAAGAATACCCTTATGCTGTAAATCTGAAGTTCGTAGAAGTCAAAAATGTACCGTAAAAGATCAGTCTTGCTTACTTGTCTCTTCTGTGCTACAATTTATACATTTTTTCGCTATAAAATGTAAAGCTAGGATATTCAAGAAGAATATGCCTTAAACTTCAGAGAAAGTTATCCTATTGTTTTCACCAGTCCTCAAACTAGTTTAATCTGATTTGAACTACATCGCTTGCTCAGGGCTTTAAGTGTAAGGCATTTTGTGTACATTCCCCCCAGCTGTTTATTTAATGACTGTCTTAGTGTGCAAAGCCAAACAAGTGGAAATCCCTCCCTCAAAACCTTGGAAACCGATTTACCTTTTACTGGACATTCAGCATTAAACTGCAAAAGAGGGACAGAGAGAAAAATCAAATCCAGAAACACGCACTGAAATAAGCTAATCATTTTCTACTAAGGAAGGTCTTCTCAACTGTAGAAGTTGTTTAATACACTATCAGTTCTGAATACATCAGTTTGAGTACATTCATAGTGGTACATTCTTAGTGAACTGAAGAAATGCATCAGAAAAGTTAGTTTTTTACATCACCTAGTGCTGGCGTACCATAACTTTGCTGCTCTGAAGAAAGAGATTAACTTTGTTAATTTACATATTAACAGTTTGGAGTTACGAGCTCCAATACGAAAAATCTTTCCAATTCCAAATATTATTTACAAAAAAATTTAAGCTTTGTATTCTGTCACTAGACTTTTCAACCAAATTATGATTTTCCTGGGGGGGGGAAAAAGTTCAATACAAAACTAAGTAATTCACATCTGGCCAGACAATGAGACTGTTCCTGACATGGGAAGAACAGATTAAGCAACACGTGAACATAGACAAAATGAAATACAAGAGGCACATGAAATTCCAGTTGAAGGGTCATATTCTACTCATCACTGGGAAAAGGATCATGAAAAGCTGAAAAGTGCATAATAATTCAGTAAAACTTAGATATGCACAAACTGTTTGTACATTGACAATATTGTCTTGGCTGCTCACAATCTACCTATCAGAATGATTAAAAATTTAATTTGATCTTTATATTGTCTTATAGCTATTTAAATGAAGTAAAAGTGATTATTACCTTTAAATATGTTAATGAATAAAAATACGTGTATTTTTTGAGAATAAGGATTATATTTCCTAAGAAAGTATCTAAAACCAATGTTTTTTCTAAATTAGTTTGGAATAATAAGTGAAGCCCATTTCTTTGCAGAATGGCATGTTTTTATTGTTTATATGTTTAGATAATTAATTTTGAATATATGTCCACTATATAAACAATCTCCAGAAAAATATATCCTCTTCCAGTAACTTACAATACACATTAAAAATACTTACAAAAGGGATTATTGTCCATTTACAACATCTTGAGCTTAAGAACATGATTCTTGCGTTATTTCATTTATGCATTTACAACATCTTGAGCTTAAGGATGTGATTCTTACGTTATTTCATTTACGCAATTTTGATTAGGCTAAACTGAATACTTTCCAGTTAACTTGAACCATGCCAGCAACATGATGGACAATCTAACATTTAAAAATATCTGCCTAATTATGTAGTATTTTAAATAAAATTTGGCATTTTTACATCACAGTAATATGGCATTTCTTAATTTAGTAACAGAAAGGCACAGTTATTAAACCATAAAATACAGTACCTGGATCATATACACTTTAGTGGTATCTACCAATACAGTCCAGATATTTTACTCTGTAGAGCGGGGTAAAGAAAAAGGCTTCTGTTTACTTTAGAAAATTCAAACTCATTACAAGTTTGGTCCATTAGAAATGCCTATTAGCTGAAACATCTTGAAGCAAGGCTTCAGGAAAGAATAGAGGAAAACAAAATTAGCAGTCTATGGTCCAACAATTTGAGTAAGTTATTATGAAATGGCAAACAGGTCATGAATGAAGCTTTCTGATCAGCTGACATACCTGTTAAACTGTCAATGTACACAGGTACAGACATTCCAGATACATTAATTGCATCACACACACAGACTTTGTTACAGCAATAAGTCTAGACACAGCATTTATAGAGTTCAGCACTTCTTGTGGATTGATATTTGACTTTTGGCCCCATACCATACCCAAAGATGTGCAAAGTTCTTTAAATGCTTTGCCTTCTATGTATTGCTGTTAAAGTGAAGACCCTGCCAAAGTGAAGCTCACTAGCCTTGCCTTAGCAGACTGTGCACCTCTTTGAAAAACAACTAGCTCTGTTCTATTGAAAGTGATAAAACTGCATCAAGAAAGACCAATGAAGTGGAAGAGGCAAGGAACAATGAACATGAGGGAGAACCCAACCGTTCCATACGTAATATAACGATAGGGAAGCTCAACTTCCATGCGTTGTCTTGCTTTCCGTACATCATCATGTGGTATGCAAAATATTTTACATGCCAGTGGAATAGTGGCTTTTTTCATTGCTACTTTTGTTAACAGCAGAACTATTACTCCGATTAACAATCGCAATATGGCTTTTCCAAACACAGTCACAGTGAGAGAGGAAAGTGATAAAGGTAAAGTCTTGGGAGGAGGATCTGGATTTAGACCCATCATGTAGTTAATGTGAGAGCCGCAGGCTACTCCAGCACCACAGCCCAGTATCTGAGCTGTGTCGCCTCGAGATGTGCTCCAGGTGTCTAGAGTGAAAGAGAAGATGCCCAGGGCTAAATGGAGACTGATGATAATTAAGGGTGCATATTTGTAAGTTAAGTTGAAGTTATCAATCAGGTCCACAACTGGATGGAAGACAACCAAGATAAGAATAGCATACAGAAAGCCAGCAATAACATCCTGTTGAAGAGAGACAAAAATATAGTTTCAGTGTAATAACTTTCAAAAAATAATTTAAGTTACTTTAGCAAGAAGAGAAATCTCATTGATCTGTTAAAAGCAACTTGTGAATTCCTATCTTCTTCCATTTACTGTCCACAATTACATTTTTTTTTTATGTTAAGGGTAAGGAATTGCATTTGACCACCTATTAATAGGACACCTGCATCATAATCAGATCATGAATGGAACTACGATCAAATGATCCATTATCAGAGTTGTAGATCTGCAGATTTTCTAGCAAAGCCTGCAGTGAGAGGACAACAGGTACTTGTTTTAAACTAAAAGAGGGTACATCTAGACTACATGCAAGGTAGAAATTTTTCACAATGAGGGTGGTAAAACACTGGAACCAGCTTCCTAGTGAGGTGACAGATGTCCCATCCCTGGAAACATGCAAGGTCAGGTTGGACAGGGCTCTGAACAACCTCATCTAGGTTGCTCAACATGTTGAAGATGTTCCTGTTCATTGCAGGGATGTAGGATTAGATAGCCTTTAAAGGTCCCTGCCATTCCAGACCATTCTGTGATTCTTCTATGACTGTATTTGCTGGCTACAGTGGTCCTTATCCAGGCACTCAGCACAGCACTAGCTAGTCCAGTTAGGTCAGTTCTGCCAGCTGAGTCTGCTGTAACAGCTCAACACTGGATCTGAGTGCCAAGAGTGCCAAGACACAGGCACACTGGCAGCAACAGCTGGTAAGGCAGTGAAGGACCACTGCAGCTAGTCATTACAGTGGCTTAGACTTTCCACTCCAGCTTCAGAATTAACACTGCAAGAATAGAGAATTGTTTGCCACTATTAAAGGAGAGGAAGAAGTAACTTCTGTGGCTTCATACTTGATTTTCAGTTTTATTATTGCTTTTAAAATGTCTTTTCTTAATTAAAAGGTTCCTCAAATTCTTTTTTTAATTTAACACTAAATTTCAGTTACTGATGATTGATCACTCAGTTCCACAGAATTATCTGCAGCTTTTGTCACCTTTACTTTTTAAGGAGGAATTTTTTGAGAGCTTTTGGAAATCCAAGCTGTAGAAACAAGATCACCTTAATTCACATTTAACAACTTTTCCACATGAGCCAGGGGTAGCATATGCATCAGCCATATTTGTATTGCTCCATCTTCAATGAATCACTCACTTCCACTAATAGAATGCTTGATAAAAGCTCTAACAGAATTGACCGAGAGGAAAATCAGACTTTCTCATTTCAAAAGCAATCACAACAGCTTTCTCCCATATTTACCACCTTGAACCCTTCCTCCTTCCTTCCCCCAACTTAGGCACCATGGTTGATTTTATTACAGGTAACACATGGTTAATTGTATTCATTCAAACATTACTGAGGAATCAGATATGAAACTGCTGAATAACCTACTCTACATGATGAATCACTATTTGTTGCATGACTTATAGACTATCTATCAGCTGACACTGTAATCTAAAATATCAGTTCATCCCACCGTCCCCCACATGTTCTGACTTGTGAAGCCTCCTAATCACTAATGCAAATATGTCAGTTTTTCCAAGCTGCCTTATTTTCATATGCTCCTTCTACACTGTGTTCATCAACCAGCTACTCACTACCAGGCTTGCTGTTTTCTGTTAACTTTTCTCCTTCTACCAAGTGATCCTCAAAAACCACTTTAACCATTCCTATTAATCGTCTTAAATTCTGATTACCATTTTATAGTGATCTTATTTTCCCATTTTTACATTGCTTGTATTTGTGTTTCAGTTTTATTCTTTTTAATCCTTTTTAATAAGCAATTCCCTTTTTCAAAGATGACAACTTTGTTATTTTGTTTTAGAAGTTTGTTAAGGGAAACTCTAGCATTTGGCATGGCACTCTGAAATGCACATGCTTTGAGTAGGTGATGTGGAACCTGAGTGGACATTTACAGCCACTCTCTCATCCCGCAAAATTATTTCTACTCTGCAGAGGAAACCTTAAGTCTATGATTTAGTGGGTGTCAATTTCAAAACTTAGCTGAAACATCATCTAAGTTTCAACTGTGGATTGAGCTTATGAAAGAAAAGTATAAATTAACAGAAGTTTGACATCTAGTTTTAGGTATTGTACTCATGTACTGCTGGAGAAGTGCAAGTATTCTGTTCCTGTATGGTAGGCCATCCTGTAAAATGATCTACATACAATTACTGCACTGTAAAAGCTTAAGTGTGATGGAAGTTTATGAAATTAGAACAACATTAAAATAGAAGTTTAGTAGGATTATTTTCTTACCAAAATTGAATGCATTCCCATGTAAATTCGACTACAGCAAACCAACAAACACCAGCAGAATGCAAGGATCAGTCCAAACATAAGGGGATACTGGTAGGGAAAAACAAGTGGAGAGACTGTATTAGAGTTTTGAAAAAAATAATCTAAAAGAAATCACTCTAAGAATTCTGTAATAATTAATTATATAATTAATTCCTATTAATGCAACTTATGCTTACCCTTTTCCTTGCCCTAGCCTACCCAAGCCTATTAGACTACCTCAAGGAAATCTACTTTTCATAACAGCAAAACATTATTAATGTTTTTCAACTTTTCCTTGTCCTCTTCCTTTGCATTCAAGATACGAAGTTCAGCGCTTTGATCATATCTTCTCAGACAAAGCAGTAAGAAGTTAACAGTTTTCAGTAGCAGTTAGTCTTGCCTTCTTAACAGATCCTAAATTGGCAATATGGGCAGAGACAAGCCTTGTGTTATAAACTGCAGAAAAGTTTCGCACTGTAGATTAACAATTATCCAGGCATAATCTAGTAGCTTCACCCTTCTTCTGAAAAGGAAGAACTCATAACAATTTACAAATAAAGTCAATTCCTTTCTGTAGTCCCTGACTCAATATCTGAGCATCCATGTGAAACTCCTGGAATAGTAATCATTTTTGCTCTCCACAAACCCATATAAGTTTCCTATTGCAATCCATATTTATTGAACATAATCAAGGAATTATTTCAAATTATTTCCATCTTCTGATAGATTTTTAAATTAATAAGTACTGTTTACCAGAAACAAACAAAACACTTCATTTTAATCAGCATGTATCAGCATGTGCAGAAACCTAGCATTTTAACTTTCTTAGGTTTTGGATAAAAGCATTCCAATTCACATCTTGCAACACATTATGAAATACTTTCCCTAACTACCACATTGCAAAACATTGTACAAGACAGGATATGGCTTCCTCCTTTCAGTATTAATTATTCTATAAAAGAAGCAGTCACAAGACAAAATAGCATGCTTCCAACACTGCTTCACTTCCTACATGATAAGCATTTTCAATACAAACAGGCAGTGTAGATGTACTCAAATCCTGGAACACAAACTAAGAACTGCAGGCAGTTCTCTTGCCTTCTGCCTTGCTCCTTTCATGGGTAACCTGAAGGGTAGAATATCTAACAAATAAGAGAAAGTATCTTTAATCTTATTGGAGAAAGGTGTATATCCTCTCTGAAGGCCACTTGACAGACTGATAAGCTTCTAAATCAGTTTTTCAGTCAAAGGTTTGGGAGAAGATTATAAGTCTTCCACATTATTCCAACATTCTTTGAATTCTTAGCTCCAGGAGCACATTAGCATGACAAACCCAAAGAATTTCTCAAACTAATGGAAAATTGGGAAGCTTATGCTTCACATACAAAACAAATTTCACATTAAAATCAATTCTAAATGCCTAGCTCACAGTTGTGTTACATCTAGTTTAAACTCTAATTCCTGTAGCAACATGTGTCTTTTTTTATACGACATGCACCTACAAATTGTAACCTAAACAAAATTACGTATTTAATGATTCATTTCTAACTGAAATGAAGAAGGAACAAATTCAGTTTCCTGCCTTTCAGAATTATGCTAATAACGGGCAATACACCACTAACTAGGTCACACTCAAGACATGACTGCAGAGTCATCAGATGCCAGCATTGTTTTAGTAGCCACAAAAGCAGTCCTTGTTCCCTGCACTGCCCCACCAGAATACATTACGCCGTTATGCCTCCTCCATCACTTCCATTGATCTCAGGGTACAAGTAGTGCTGCCTGCACCTGGAAGACACTTCAGCCACACAACCTCCTGCTCCACTCCCCCCTCACCCCTGAGGACGACCGAAGCAGAAATGCTGTATGTATATAGAGGGGTAAGTATATCCTATACTCTCTGAAGTAGAGAGGAGCTTCTAGCACATCCTTACCTGCTCCACAACATGAAAGCCTGGGAAGACAGACTTCTTGTTTCCCAGAGAGAAACTAGCAAGGGAAGATTAGTAACTCCAGAAGCAATGCAGACCTCTTGACTAGAAAAATTAATACCATCACAATTACTTGGTGGTAGAATGAACTTACATGTGTTCATATGGAAGTTTCAAACATTTTTGCACATCACTTGATACCACCATATGCCCATTCTTGTTTCCTGGCACACATCTTTAGTCCTTTCAGGCCCTAATCAAGAATAAGATTTTTCTTTAATAAAGATTTTTCCTGTGTTTCTGAAACACCTGACAGAAACAGAAGCTGGAGCTTTAGCAAGAAGACCCATGAAGTGTCAGGCTCAGCAGGCTGTAGCAGCTAATGATACCATGGTGGGGGAGAAGTTACAGCAGCTAAAAAAGCAAGACTCTAAAAAGTATGAAGGAAAAAGTGTATGTGAGAAGTCTTATTTTAAGAGTCCTGGGCAGGTCATTGTGAACAGCAGGGAGAGTCAGATAAATTCTGAAAAGTAAAAGAAATGTTTGCTCTCAGTCAGGAGCTCTCAAGGGAGGAGTGTTTGAGGAAGATGGGAATTGTCAGAAGCTCCAACTTTCAAGAAAAGTTCAAAAAGAGTATTTGACTTTTTCATATCTCACTCTAATTCTGGTTTTAATAATATTGAGAATACCCATTAAAATACCTGAAACCACTGGCTAGTTTAGTTCTTCTGTAGCAAAGCATCTGTATCTAAGAGCTCAAACACTTCCTTATTGAATCATAAATAAAATCCAATTATACATTTCACCCCAATTCATATCATCTTAAAGTGAAAGATATTTTAACTTAAACCCAGACAAATTATTTGTACTGAAATAGCTTTAGCATGATTTGTGCACAAATGTATCCACAGTATTAGGGACATGCTGATTTATGGTATTTTTAATGCATGGTAATAATAATCACAGAAGTCCTAAACCCAGTTTATTTCCACCAAGAGAGTTTACTCACTACAGTGTGCTGAGCTGGGTTGTCCACAATGAAAAAGCAGAAGAACCAAACAATTATTCTAATTTCCTCTGGAATACTCCACAATACAACAGTTAAGTGTATTTTTGTGCTTAGTTCCCACACAAACCATTCTTTTCTATGCTCTCCCACTATATAACCAGCACTCTTAGACAACTGTCAGTTTATGTCTGAAGCTTACTTACCGACCAGTAAAATAACTATCAGTTTAAAGACATCTTTTCATATGAAGTATGGAAATAAAATTTCACCTAAAGAAGGTTTTAACCTTCATCTGTCCTGGTTTCTCCCCATGTTACATCCATACTTCCCTGCATTACTGATCAGAATTTCTTCCCACAACCCCAGCACTCCACTGCAGAGCATCATAAAGCTGTACATACACTTTGGGCCTTCACAGTTCACTGGCCTCCTTAGATAACACTAGAAATCAAGCAGAACCATCCACTACTTCAATACAAATAAAGCTCACAAATACCCTGCCTCCTCCTTGGACTGCTTTCACTCATACCATTTAAAAGCAGCCATTGGTTTCAAGAATTCCTAGGACACCAAACTGGCAGCACCTGCTTAAAAATATACCCTCAGGTGATAAGGCAACCGCATGTTTTATCCTCACACATACAGATAAGTGTACAAGGTGACTAAAGGAGAATATTAACACTCCCACACATCTTTTAGCTTAGCAAAAAAACAGCTCAGCAGCATGCCAACTGACATCACCTTGATGCCATAAATTTACTTTCAAATCACTGCCTGAAAATAAAGCAATGTCAAGGTACTAGCAAACATTTTCTACATGTTGTTTCATCTATAAATGATTAACTGCATGTATTTTGCATATATACGTTGGGTGTACCATGGTTGTATATCTGTAACCTCCCACTGCCCAGGCATAAGAAATCCGCTTAAATATCAAATACCTTCTATTAGTACAGTGCCTTAAACAACCCTTTTTAGACATAAAGGTCTCAAACCCTGTCTCCGTGCCCTCAAGAGCATCGCATGTATATCCTCAAAAATTCATTATACTTACTATCTCCATACCTATCATGCCACCCCAACAATTTTTAGTATGGGGAATATTTATTGAACTGTATACTGCTTTCTTTTTTGCCAAATTAAGGAAAAATCCCAACTTGTGATCTGAAAATACTAATCTTATGCAAAAATAAAGATACCTGCATAGTACACTTAATGTGAACTTCAGAATCACATGTTGGCTCAAAACCAATATTTACCTGTCACTAATTCTCCTTGAGAAAAGTACCCACATTCCATATTAAATCAAATCGCTGATATCTGGCTAGCACAGGCATTTTTCTGAAGGCCAGAATACAACTTTGATAATATGCATAAGCATGTAGTACAACTACAAGATTAGAATATGAAGTAAAAGCAGGTGGAATTGCAGCAAGGCAGAGATCAGGAACAGACACAAATTCAACACAGATATTAAAAAGATACTTTTGCCGATATTTTGGCTTTAAAGTGTTTGAAGGCATCATACCCATTAAGAAGTGTCCAAGTGTTGACATGTGTGACTAAGGGACAGATCACCAAGCATCTTAATAAAAAAACAAAACAAAAACAAAAAAAAAATCCCCCCCAAACCCAACAAAATGGTTTATTGATTTCTTAAATTCACATATTAAGTTAAAGAAAAAGCTAGAAATAAAGCTGATTGAGTCAACTACTCATCTGCTCTCAGACCTCAGTTTTGTTCACATATCCAGAATCTTGTTAATCAAAGAAACTGCATTAAATTGGTCCTATTTGGAAGTGAAACTATTTCCAATAAGCCTTTCAGAATTGTATGCTCTATATTTTCAATAGAAAATTCCCATTTTATTTGATTACATCCTCCAAAACATGCTTGCAAGCTTCTGACTGGATCTCATCGAAAATGTTTCCCTCAGCTGCCTATCCTCCTCCCTCCCCGTCTTCTTCTGACTTTTTGCCAAGAGTCTTAATAACATAACCATTGTTTGAAAATGCTCATAAGGAAGCAATCTGTCCTAAAAGCTTTGACCTAGGTCAGAAAATTCTTTCTTTCATAACGGAACATTCTGAAAATAAACTCTAGATGCCCATTTCTTTATTTTTTAAAG